TATATATATATATATATAAATATAAATATATATATATATATATATATATATATTTATATATATATTTATATATATATATATATATATATATATATATATATATATATATATATATATATATATATATATATATATATATATATATTTATGCTAATGTATTTTTTTATAACAATCAATGATAAAACATTCCAATTAAAAAAAGAGAGCATCCCGAGTAGGAATTGTACTGGCAACTAAATGAAATTAGTTGCGAGTTTGGCAATCTCACAGAGTTATTATGGGAGATGTTTCAGATTGGCTTATTTAGGAATAGAAGTCATGAATGTAAAAAACGAACGCATTTTTTTTTTTAAAAAAACGTGTTGTTTTTTAAATTAAGTTTTTTATTTTTTTTTTGTTTTTGTTTTTTTCTTTCTAAGTATTTTTTAAATTTTAGATATTAATAAACTTTAAAATAGTTCCATTTCCAATAAACCTTGAAATATGCTTGATTTTTATATTTAACAGAATATATATATACTAGGTTGGTTGAAAAGTTCGCGGAGCGGCACCTATGTTGCAGTAGTAGAAACAAATTTATAACTGTATTAAACGTATTCATTCTTCGTATGAACGCATAAAAAATTTCAAGTCGATATGTCATTTCAGTCTTTGTTTACAAGCTATTGAAATTAGACGTGTCATAGTATTTTTTAAAATGGAAAATATTGAACATCGTGCTGTAATAAAATTCTTTGTGAAAAAAGGTTTAAAGCCCATGGAAATTCATAATGAAATGGTAAATGGGTTGGGTGATGATGCTCCTTCAAAAACAACAGTATGCAAATGGGCTGCGGAGTTTCAACGTGGGCGTTCAAGCCTTGAAGATGACCCTCGCTCTGGACGTCCAAAAAGTGCTACTACTGAAGAAACGATTAATGCTGTGCATGACATGGTTATGGATGATAGACGATTGACCAAACGTGAAATTGCTGAGGCTGTGGGCATCTCAGATGAACGGGTATTACACATCTTGCACGATGAATTACGTCTGAGAAAGCTGTTGGCAAGATGGGTGCCGCATTCGCTGACTCTGGATCAGAAACGCACTCGAGTAAAACTTTCTCAAGAACATTTGGCCCGTTTTCAAAAGAATAAAACAGATTTTGTGCGTCGATTCGTAACCATGGATGAGACTTGGGTTTACCACTATGATCCGAAGCTGCGACAACAAACTGCAGAGTGGACAGAACCTGGTTGTTCAGCTCCGAAGCAAGTGAAGGCGTCAAAATCGTCAAAGAAGGTTTTGGCATCAGTTTTTTGGGATGCGAAAGGAATTTTATTAATAGATTACCTTCAAACCGGTAAAACGATAACAGGTGAATATTATAAAAATCTTTTGGACCAGTTGGATAAAAAAATTCGTGAGAAAAGACCTGGTTTGCTGCATAAAAAAATCATTTATCACCAGGACAACGCACCTGCTCATATCAGCGATGTTGCAAAGGCGAAATTGGTCGAATTAAAGTACGAACGCTTGGAACATCCACCCTATTCACCAGATCTGGCTCCGTCCGACTTCCACCTCTTTCCACATCTCAAAAAATTTCTACGTGGAAAGCGTTTCTCATCACATGAAGAAGTCATTGCAGCCGTAAATGGGTATTTTGAAGGCCTTCCGGAATCGCACTTCAGAGATGGGATACATGAATTGGAGAATCGTTGGAAAAAGTGTATTGCTCTTAAGGGAGAATATACTGAAGAATAAAGTCATTTTTTGAATCATAAAATTGTTTTTTCATTTCCGCTCCGCGAACTTTTCAACCAACCTAGTATATTAGCTATTATCATTTACACATCAATGTTAAAAAAACAATGAGAAGTTTAAGCAAAATTAAGTTTTGTAAAGTTACTCTTTTATATTACTACTGTATTAAATTTTAAACATGATTAATTATCTTAATTATGTAAATATAATATGTCCAATAATTATGCTAATTATTAAATATGGTATGCTCGTTAATTATGTCAACAAAATAGGGGAGAGAAGACTGAAAATATTTGACAGTTGTTGACAAGGAGAAGGGGTGACGCTAATAATGTTAGTTTTTTAAATAAATTAAATTATTAAAAAAAATAGAAAAAAAAAATGTTTTTTTCTAATTTTCTTGATAAAGGGGGAGGAGGAGGGGAAGTGAAGAGAGGTGAAGAAGTGTATTCAAATATTGACGTAATTTTACTGGAATTTTTACAATATGTTGTCAAGGGGAAGAGGAAGATAAAAATTGTCAAAAAAATTTGACGTAATTAATGGACGGCCATTAAGTTAATTTTGAAGCATGATTCATGAAGGGTTCCTTCAAAATTAGGGGCCCCTAATATAAAAGATAAAACAAACTGACTTGTTTTTTATATTTACAACTTGATTATAGTAGACACTAAAATCAAGAAATTAATCGGAACAAAAAAAGTTTGTGAAAAAACTTTGTTCGTTTATATCAAAAAGAAATTCAAAAAAGTTTCTATAAATCATTTTTATTTTACAAAAGTAGCGTTAAAAGTCACGCCTTACAATTATGATTTTAAAAAAGAGTTTTTAGGGGTAACAGCACAGGACTCTCGTGGGGAATAGACTTCCCCATTAACATGGAACTAGGGTCCCACGGCAATAAACCTGGCCTTTATTTATCAAATGACAGATAAAAATATAAAAACTATAATATAATTAGAGTATAAAAACTTGTTTTTATTATAAATTATAAACAATGTGAACGGCAGTTTAATGATAACGTACAGAGCGTACAAATAATGCGAACGACACTATCACCCGCGTCATAAAAGAAGACCGTTTTTATATAAAACAACACTATACTAATAAGTTAAGGACGCGACAAATAAAAATCAAATTTTAGGAAAGTTACATTATGAAAAGTTCTGGTCAAGTGAAAAAGATAATAAAGATAAGCTTTAACTAATAAAATGAGTATTAAATAAAGACATATTTTATTATCGTAATATTTGTTTTAATTAAAACATATTTACAATATTACTTGAATGTAATAATTTTTAAGATATGCAGAAAAGAGTAGACCACATTGTTTATGTTTTCTTATTCTACAGGGAGCGTATTCAGAAAACTTTTTTTTTGCGTAAGTTTGGCGTAAGTTTGGCGTAAGTTCAAAACAGTGAAATCCGTATTCACGAAACTTGCGTAGTTGCGTTAAACAAAACTTACGTAAGTTTTTTCGTAACTTCTGTGCTAAAAAATCGGTATTCACCAAACTTTTTATAAACTTGCTCAGCTCAAATTAAGCAAGAAAAGTTACGTTAGCTATTAGCTGCCTTAACTTTGGCGTAAAGTTAAAATAACTAAATATTAGAAATAGTGTAATATTATTATGATTCATATATGGTCAGATTGATATAGAATTTTATTATAATATATACAATTCATGTATATAAATTGTATATACTATAATAAAGTTAACAATAATCATAAATATTATTAATATCTATGATAAAATTAATAGATAATAATAATAATCATAGATATTGACACAAATATTATTAAATAATATTTGTGTTAATATCTATGATTATTATTATTATTATCTATTAATTTTATCTATAAATTATTACGATGCATTTATATTTCAAATATAAATGCCATTTATATTTGAAATACAAATGCATCATAATATTTTTATAACTTAATAACAACTCAATATTTGTTACGTATAAAGTGTTTACTTATTCATGTATGTTTATTTACATATATATATATGTGTGATCGTGTATATGTATTGTGTGTATGCTTATATATGTATACATGTGTGTATGTATATGTATGAATGTATGTGTTTTGCATATATGTGTGTATGTGTTTGTGTGTGTATATATGTTTGTATAAATGTATGTATGTATGTGTATCATACACACATATGCATAAATAGGCATGTGCATATACACATATACATATATGTGTGTATGCGCGCACTGGACATACATACATTCACATACTGTGTGTATGTGTGTTTGGTGTGTGTCTATGTGTGTGTATGTATGTATATGTTTGTATAAATATCTATGTATGTTTGATTGTGTATGTGTGTCTATATATATATATATACATATATATATATATATATATATATATATATATATATATATATATATATATATATATACATATATATATATATATATATATATATATATATATATATATATATATATATATATATATATATATATATATATATATGTATGTATATATATGTATATATATAATATATATATATATATATATATATATATATATATATATATATATATGCATATATATAAACACACGTATATATAGATTTGTAGGTCATCACGTTTTTGTCAGTTATATAACTGTTTAACAAACCAAAACATTGTGTATTATAATATCATAGTATTATTGTTATATTTTTGTATAATATGATCAATTTATTATCTTATAGTTGTAATATAGCGTATAATAGGGTCCGAATATATATAAATTACATGCATCATGATGATATATTATAAATAAATATTGATATAACATCTTTATGAAAACCATTAAGATGTTATATTATTAATTAAGTTAAACCTAATGTATTTAATTTATTTATATTAAAATATTATTATATTATTAATATAGCATAACATTTTATGCAAAATAATAGTAACATTGTTATTTAAATTGATATATTATAGTATATTGTATATTATTTGGATTATATTTTAAAAGATGCTGTATTGTTATAATGCAGCTATGATTTTGACAATATATACAATTATTGAATTATTATATTCATAAAAAAAGCAACTATATCTTTATAAATATTAATAAAACACTATATATTTACAAAAAAGCAAGTATATCTTTATAAATATTCTATTTCACAGTGTTTTGTTATATGGTACATGTCTCATTAAGTTTAACTATCATAATTCATTTAGTTGTTTTAATAGCTTTATTTTGTTTTAGTTTAAATAAAAGTTTGATTAATTTGGTCAAGATCAAATCTAGCGTTAAGCTCAATATACTGCTTTAAACGATTACTCTGATGTAGAATGTGTTAAAAAATCTCATTTGTATAAAAATATATAGAAGTATATAAAGCCAACACATTAACAATGATTTGTCACCAAGCATATTGAGGAGCAACCCAATTTCTTCAGAAGCAAAAATGTAACTGAGAGTTTTTAAGTTAACTGGGAGTTTCAAATAGTAATTGGTAAAAACTACTAGTCAATTCAAAAAAAGAATAATTTTTATTTTTTTCTATTTTTGAATTGAAAAAGACATTAGAATATAATCCTAATGCAGATTTCCTTTTTGCTTATTAACAGTCATGATTGCACCATTTAATCAGCCAACTACACCAGAAAAAATCTATTTCAATAAAGTTCACCTACAGATAGATAGTGATGTGGGGCAATCCTTTGATCATCTCAAAAACCATTGGATGTCACAAGAGACGTGAAGCACTTCAGTGCTCCTAAACATATGCTTACCCAAACTATATATTGCAAAATATATTTTAATTGTAAGTTGCTGGAAAACTTTTACAATTCCTTAGGATTAGAAATTCCAGATGACATAAACTTTGAGGACAACAACGAAGATGATGTACACTATGTTCAGGTTGAATTAACACAAGTCAACCAATTCGACTTGGCATTGTACAAAGAACACTAGTTAAAACTATGTTATTAAATTGAAGGGGATATGGGGATATATATGATTTACGTGATATTTATGAATGAAAAAAATGAAAGTTTTTTATTTATTTATTAATTGCATATTAAACAATTTAAAAATTTATCTGCCCTTAATAACCTCTTTGTAGAATAATCAATTCTGAACCCTCTCTACCTCTTTTCAACTTAAAACTATTTTTCTAATATTTATAATTTTTTTTTTTAATAAATATTCAATAAAAAGTATTTAGTTTTTACAGCAAAGTTTATAAAAAAATATTATTGTCATTTTATTAGGGTGTGAAAAATGTTAATTAGTAATAACCCCTAATTTAAACTAGTTAGAAATTATATGAATTCAATATTAGAAAAGTTTGTTTTATAAAATTACGAAAACTTGGTTTATTCAAACAAAAAATAACTTGGTTGATTTTTGCGTAAGTTTTTGCGTAAGTTTGGCGCAACTCGTGCGCAACCCTAACTTTACGGAAATGCTGCGAAACATTGGTGAATACCAAAACTACGCTGAACTTACGATTTCCGTAACCTTAGTTGAGCTACGCAAGAGTTACGAAAGTTTGGTGAATCCGCACCCAGGTCTGTTACTTGAATATGGCTGTTAAAATAGTAACGCAATAATGTTTACTCTGCAAACATTTTTAAAAATCTACTTTTTACTATTATTAAATTTTAAGCAGACTGTTAAAAATAACATTATACACATCAATTAGTAACAAATATTAATAGTACAATACTTATATTATTAGAAAGGTATTTCATAAGACTATTTAGAAAATTAAACAATTGAAAGAAGCATAATAAAAAATCGGAGTGAAAAAGAAACTTTGTTTATATATCAACATCAACAGACTTTAGCATTAGAGTTAGTTAAAACAAAAAACCCATAACTTAATGGAGGCATGTACAATGGAAAATTAGATTTTATTGGGTTTAGAACAGGCAATGTTGTTTCATTATTCATCGTTAAAATGTGACCATTAAGAGAAACCATTTCATCTGCTATGTTTCCATTAGATGGTGTAAGTAAATATTGATCAACAGAAACTGTGTTGTTTTTAAAATTAATAGTTGCATTTTCTTTGGCATTAATATTTATGACTATTAAAACAACCGAACCAGATTTATAAGCGCCATTTTTAACGTTTGTACAATGCGCGTACATTCTTATATCTCTACCATGCTCTAAAAACCCAGTAAGTTTCAACACTTTTTGCCCTACTAGTCTTTTATAAAGTAACGAGCTCCAATAGTCTGGTGTAGGGTTAAATTTGGCGTCAACTAATGAATAATTTCCACCTTTGAATGATTGCCTTAAAACCACACTTATTCCCATTTGAGCAGCTAATCCAAGTTTATCTAGCCAGAGAAATCCTGCAGCAAAACTGTTTCCAGCAATTTTGCTTCCTCCACCGTAAGTGCTTGATGTTTCTCCAATCCACACCTGAGGAAATTTGTACCAATGACTTAGTGATTTTTTTACAATCGAAATTGCTTTGAGTCCATAATCAATAAAACTGTCAAGATATTTTATTTTTGTAAAGCTTTCTGGTTTTACTATACCACTTGATGAATAATAATGATGAAAAGTTACTCCGTCTAAAATACCTTCATCAATTGATTTTAAAAAAGTTTCAAAAAAATAAATGCGATTTATATTTGCGACATCGGGACCAAATAGTTTTATTTGTTTTTGTATAAAAATTTCATCAAGAATTTTGCGTAACATTTTAAAATCTACGGCAAGCTGTTCTGGTTTTAAGGTAATATTTAAATGGCGGGGAAATAAATCATACTCATTTCCAAGTTCAAAGTTCACGTTGTAGTTCATATCAACAATATGATTCAATAAATGTTTTGCGTTTGAAGAATTCCAATTACCATCTGGAGAGCGATTTAAAACGTTTAGTCCAAATATAAGTTTCCATTTAGCTTCGTTTACAAAGTTCATGAGAACGTCAAACTCGATTTTATTATAGGAAATCTTACTGGCTTTAAAGTTTAGAGAATCTCCAGAGGTACCGCCAAATCGTAAATAAAACTCACCCTCAGATGATAGTGCTTTAGCTAGAGTAAGCAATTTTTTTGATTTGAAATCAGCAAGGCGTGACTGCCTTCTGAAATAGCTTGCATCAAATGTTAAAGATAAAAATTCTTTTTCTACTTGAAAAACAACTTTTTCAAAATCGATATCCAAAATTACCTCTATTGCATATACGTGCTGAATTAAAAGAATGTTCCAAAGCTGCATTTCTAAAATATTTAAAAATCAAGATATATATATATATATATATATATATATATGTATATATATATATATATATATATATGTATAAATATATACATATATATACATATATATACATATATATATATATATATATATATATATATATATATATATATATATATATATATATATATATATATATATATATATATATATATATATATATATATATATATATATATATATATATATATATATGCATTATATTCTGAAATAAACTATTTAAAGAAGCAAATCGAACTTCTAAGCAGAAAAGCAGAATATGTTCAGAATGAGTGGTGATTCAATAAAACATTTGACAAAAAACTAGCTGGCTATCTAGTTCACTAAAAAGATAGAGATGGTCAAGTAGATGGCGTGGTAATATAACGAATGTCCCAAACAGAATTAAAGATCTAAAGAAGGGTAACTCGTTATGCCACACATCTGTAGGCCAATCTCAATGTTTTACAATTGAGTTATTCATAGTTATATTTACAAACAAAAAAAACTTGAAAAATAAAAGACACATCTTGAGTAGAAGAGGCTATAAAAGTATTTTAACTCGAATACAAGCATACGACTGAAACAATATATTCAGAATTTTTTTGGTGAATGATAACTACTCGGTCTTTATCAACAAGTAAAACGATGCAGTTGATTTGCGCATTCCATTTTTTACAAAAGCACTTATAGGAAAGAAAGAACCGAGGAACTCTCTAGACGTTAAGGAGGCAGT